TGACAGCAGCAGCGACACCTCAGTGCGTGTGTTGTTGTAGTGTTGTTTGCTGGCGGTGGCTGCAGAGCCCTCAAGGCGCAGAGCGGCGGCAAGCAGCGTTTGGTCTCTTTCCTTCGGCGCGTGTATATGTGGGCGAAGGCAAAGAAGCAGCAGAAAAAAAAACAGCCGCAATACGGAGGCGTCCCGGTGCACAGACAGAAGCCAGAGTTGAGAAGAACGGCGCGACCCCGCGCGGTGGCGGCCGCGGCACTGGGGCCCACACGGCGGCGGTGAGCACCGCCCAGGCCGCAGAAAACAAAAGAAAAAAAAAAGAAAACAAGACGGGGAAGAGAAGTAAATAATTCCTACAGGACCTCCAAAATTAAATTAAATTAAATTACGTCGGCAGGTGCTGTTCCTTTACCGCACGCGTCCAGCAGCACAAGAGGGCTGCGAGTGCGTGTCTTTATTTTAGTACCTGCACGAACAAGAAAAAAAAATCGTCTTGTGGCGTGAGCCCACACGTCCCTCTCGCACATTTCATGCGGCGTTCTCTCAGCTCTTCAGCCGGGCGGTGGGGTCAAATCCGTGCGGGGCGCACGTCAATGCGGCCGCCGTCACGTGTGCGGGAGCAGCCGCAAAAGGCACACAAGAGGGGGAAGCCGTGACGCACCACAGTGCATACAGAAAGCGATCATTGGAGCAAAGAAGAACGAAGAAAATGGGTGCCTGCCCCCTCCAGAAAGGCGTCAGCGGGAAGAAGAGCCAAAGGCAGAGAAGAAACGCATATAGGAAAAGAAGAAAACATGTGTAAGTGAGGCCGGCGGGGGCCGCGGCAGTGAGTCCCCGTGTGAAGCCACAAATACATAATCCTTTCCTTCAGCAGAGAGCCGCAATGCCACAAAGCCCCAGAAGAGTCAGCAGCATTACCCGAGGCAGACCCCCATGCACACTGCCGTCACCGTTTCCGTCATTGGGAATGGAGCCAGTAACGTTGGTGCCATTCGGGAGCGGTGGCACTTTGGGTGCTGTCGGCCTCCCTTCGGGTCCTGGTGCGGCGCCTGCATCCTTCGGCGCAACGTCAACGCCTGGCGACGCCTTTCCTCCCTGGCCTGGAGCGGGGGGTGGGGGCCGATCGGGCACAGAGCCTGCAGTGGTGTTGTCCCCCTTGGGCACCTCTGCGCCTTTATTCCGCGAATCGCCTGCCACTGGCTCGGTGCTGGGGGGTTTTGCACCGCCTTTGCTGTCGGGAGTGACCCCACCGTCAGTTCCCCCAGGACCGCCCGTTCCCGCGTGCGGTTCCGGATTCGGCTTTGCTGGGGGGACCTGAGGCGTCGAAACGGCGCTGTCGCTTTCGCTGCCGGCGGGGCCCTTGTCGGGCAATGAACTCTTCTCCCCCTTCTTGTCCTCCGGCCTCGCCTGGGGCGCAGGCCCCCCACCACCGCTAGTCGGCGGCGGAACCTCCGGCTTTGCCGCCGGCCGCGGAAAATCGACTTTGCCGTCGCTGAGCTTCTCCACCGCATCCTCAGCCAGCAGGTCGTTGTACAGCAGGACGTTGGCCAGCGTCACATGTTGGCTGCTCGCCGCACCGCCCCCGGCGTCGGCCCCAAAGCAGAAGTGCGAGATCCTGCTTGCGTCGAAAATAGAGTCGTCGTGGGTGTCACCGTAAATCTCACTCCCGTCGACGTGCACATTCCACTCGTCCTTTTCAAACTCCAGTGTCACTTGGTAGGTTTTGTTTGGTTCCCACTGCTCCAAAGACCCCTCAGCCGCGCCGCGATGAGGTGTGGAGAGCCACTTCCGCTCATGGTTGTACGACAGCTCAAAGAGCACAGTGCTCGCTGCGTCGTCCATCTTCACCCGCAGCAAAGGGATGGGGCCGCCGTCCTCCTCCGGCACCGCGTGGATCGTCACCGTCACCGCAAGAGCGAACTCGTTGTTCGCAAAGTAGTACGGCTGGTTCTGCCCCAGTTTCCCCACGGGCCACTCCGCCCCCGCCCCGGCGCCGCTGAACGTCACGCCGTTCGTAAACTTTGTTGCTGCCCCATGGACTGTCGCGTCCACGCCGAGGTACTCGTCCTCCCACTTGCCGCCAGTTGACTTCCCGGACAAAAACCCCACCAGCCCTTTGGTGGGAAGAGGGCCGCTGCACATGCCCCTCTTTCGCGGGTCGAGCTTTCCGCTGGCTTTGCAGCTTTGCAAGGCGGCGTCCGTATCTTTCCAACTCCTCACCACCTCCTTTATCCGATCCAGCTGCGTGGTCAGGCGCACGTAGGCAAGACCGTACGAATCGT